TCAGTGTACTTTTTACTTTTACTCATTACATTTTTACACAGTTTTCTGTACTTTCTACTCCTTACATTTTTTACAAAGGTAAGAAGTAGAAAGTCGATACTCCTAATTTATTCTGAGTTATTATAAAAAATACAATCTTGATAAATTGTGTCTCCTGTATCAAGAGAATTTAACTGTGGTTAGATGATAAGTACAAATATATACCATTATGACACCATAATAGCTTGTACACAACCCATCACAGCTGCACGCCGTTAAAAAAATGTTTTTTGGAGAAGTCACCTCCCAATAAATGTCATTTAGGAAAATCTAACTGCTCACTTTTACTCAGTACTTTTACTTTTAATAGTTAAGTACATTTTGTGTCAGAAATTTACTTTTGATACTTAAGTACAAAAAAATCAGACACTCAAGAAATATTTTTAGAGAAGACTTTAACTTTTACCAAAGTATTTTTGTGATAAGATACTTGTACTTTTACTCAAGTATCACTTTGAGGTACTTTAAACAACACTGTCTGTCTGTTTCAGATGGGTTCTGCTGTCATTCTGACACCCAACATAAAAAAAACAACAAAACCAATATTTAAAAAAAGCAGGTGTAAAGGACTAAAAGGACATTAGAAGTAGGTGTGCAGCGGGTGCTACAGCACCCCTGATGGACACCTCAATACATGCACGACTAAAAATGTGTTTATTGTTGAGTTTTAATGCATAAACCAGCACTTTTTTTTTTTACATTTTAGTATTGGGTTATGAGTAAAGTTATATATTACAGAATAATTTTAATGTCCATAYTCATGCAAGCTATGCTTTGCAAGTGTGTATTTCATTGTTTTTATTTGGTATTGTGAAACACTTGTGGGTGTTTAGAGTTGTACAACTTCACACACCCTCATAGCACCTCCTCCAACTCACTTTTTAATTTTTTTTTACATATTTAAGATGTGTTCAACAATCTTGTTTAAAGGAAAGGTATTTTATTACAACTAATAATATAGTAGATTGAAACTCATAATTAACTGGGAGCATGTGCTCTTCATCTGAAGATACAGATACAAGTGAAAATCTCATTAATTATAGGCTTTTTGAGCAGAACGCCGTGGTGTCGTTTAGCTTGAAACATGTATGAATCAGCTCTCGAATGCAAAAGGATCCTTGCGATGTAATCATTTTTAAAAGGCCACAATAACGAGGAGCGTCTTCTCAGTCGATAAAATCCATCAAGCAGTCAGAGAGGTGATGCATGATCCATAAAGTACACAGCATACGCAGGGAGGGGTCCTTAAGCCGGACCCATCCACAGAACTGGAAACGTGTAACTGCATGAAGTCAGTCAGATGTGTTTTACATCAGCCAGCTAATCTCAAAAGTGACAAACCCACCCCGTGGAGTCAGCCCAGCAGCCTGAATGACACCACTGTGCACGTGGAAAACCTCTGGGTTGTATCCAGAACTCTGCATTCTGACGTCTTCTCCTTGTTCGTGGCCTGAGGACATCAGATTTCTTTGTTAATGCACTTTACGCTTCTTTGAGTAGGGAGGAAAAAGCGATGGCTGCGGTTAGAGTTCTGTGGAAAATGTAACTGCTTTCCAGAGATTCACCAAAGAGCTGACTGTGGCTTTCGAGAGAAAAATGGTGCTCTTCTTAAAGGGATCCCCGATTAGTTGCAACAGTAAACTTTATTTGATAAACATTTATTTTAACTGTAAAATAAAGACTGTAAAAAAATACTGTAGGCTGTTTAGTTTTGTAAGTTTTTTAAAATATATTTCAACACGGACGGAGCCATTTTATTTACACGCAAAGCATTCTGGGTAACTGATGACATCAACTAGGTCATCGGTGCGAGGCTGCTAGTGAGCTATATCCACCCTGAAGGTTAATCTTGGACAATATTGATGATCAACTCTTTTAAATGAAACCAGAGAGCGTTGACAGAGAGGAGAAGGTAGAAATGACTCAGCCTGTAACTGAAAATATAGATGGAGGACAACAGAGC